CATATTCTGATGGACTAAAGCCTTTTATTTCATTTCAGTAACACAAAAGCCTTGTTTTTAACTGTTCTCTTTGAAAGAACTCTCTGAAATACACCACCAAGCTTGCCCAGCTTAGTAATACGACAAAAGAAATTCAGTTCATACTTTACTTAAGGGCATTTAAATGCTTTAAAGTCTTCATTCTGAGAATGACTTCTGATTCGTTTTAAATGAGTACTCTGTGGGAACTTGCTTTTTCATTATTTGCTTATTTCTACTACACAAAAAACCCTGCAATAGAAAATCAAGATAACTGACGGTTCCATTTAATCCTTGTTTGTGTATCTCCCGGACACTGGGAATGAAATAAAGAGATGTCAGTTAGGAAAAGAATACAAGGAAAAATCCTGTTCAAACAAAGAAAGCCTTACTGTTCCTTTAGAAATGTCACTGTCTATTATACACAGAAGATTTTATTTTTCAGCAATAAAAAGCAACTGACCACCTAAAAGTTTTCAATATCCTTCCCGTCCCTAGCTCATCGACGATCAATGAAATCTGAATTACAATTCCCTGGCATAACTGAGCGGCCAAATTTCTTACAGTCATAGAAAAGTACCCAAATTTTAACCTCACCTACATATTGAGCTGATGTTATACTTATTCCCCTATAATTTCACGGCATCATTGGGTAATTTTTGCTCTGTACAATTATACATGATATTAATGTCTCTATCCTCTCTTCTCTTTAAAAATTTAGTCTTTGATGATATCTCTGAGAGTTTAATTTTCTTTTCACCATGTAAGCATGGACTGGATGGGAATAATTGTAAAAGTTACAGAGTAATGACACAAAATAGTAACCTCAGACTAAATAAAAGCTGAAAAACCCAAGACTGTTTTTTCCAGCATTACTGCTGCTGGAGAGAGAAAGTAGCAAGATGCTTTATAGCTAGGAGATAGCATCATGACCTGCAGTTTTATTGATTCACCTTGGAACAATTTGCCTACCAGAGACTGCCTGGCTGACATTCTCTTATGCTGCACCAAGAACCTGAAATACTGCAGGGGCTTTCTCACCGAGCTCTGTCCTTCAAAGTCATCCCTCCTCCCTAAATCTTTTTTTCCAGTGCAATGTGAGTGAACACTCCAAAAAGGAAATCGAATCTTTCTCCCGTGAACCCACCGTTGGTTTTGTGTTGAGCATAAAGAAGCTCCAGACCCTAGTAGGGCATCCTTTGTCCTTCCTGAACATCCTCCCTTCCTCTCAGCCCCACATCCCACTACTCTACTCCCTTTAGTGCTATGAACATCACATGCCATGCTGGCTCTCAGGACCAGGAAATGTGCACTTCTTTTTCTAGTGTATCCCATGGCTTTGTCTGTCAACTGCCTCCCTGCACACGTCTGGTGCACAGTGAAAATGGAACAGGAATATGTTTTGGGGGGGAAATGTTCCATGAGACTAAGCAGATTGAGAAAAACGGTAAACGGGTATCTTACATTTCCTGTAGTGAAACTCTCTTAAAAACACCTATGATTAGGAATTTACACTTCAGGGTAATTCACTCAGTTACCAGAGGTGGAGTGCTCATCAGAGAGCAGGCTTGCTCCAGTGCAGGAAAGTTATTATCGAAACAGGAAAGGGCAGCTCTCAATGCTGCACCTTCCTGCGGAGACAAAGAGGAGTGGTTAAATTATTACAGGAGACCATTTCAGACAAAAATCACTAGCAAGAACAACACAAAGTAGAACTGTGAAGTAGACAGGTTGCAGGGAAGGAGTGGTTTGGTGGTGTCAATGTTTTCTTTAAAGCTAAGACCTTTAAGGAAGTGGTCTGGGCCATAAGAAGAGTGTAGGAAAATATTCCAGCAGAAGGAATTGTAGACTCAAAGACCTTGAGGTGGAAATCAGTTCGACGTTCAAGAAATAGGAACGGAGCCCGGAAGAGGGAGCAGAGGTGAAGAGGAGACCAAAAAAAAAATCACACCAAGATTCAAACAAAAATAAACAAGCCTGAGGAGCAATGTGGGTCCACTGGTCAAGTACAAAGTGTACTGAAGAAGCTCTGTCTTTATCTGTCTTTGTCTCTCTCTCTCTCTCTCTCTGTCTCTCCACCTCTTTCTCTCTCTGTTTTGGGCAGGATTCTCACACCTCCTTTCCCAAAGCATACTTCCTTCTACTGGGAGCTCATTGGAGCACCCTCAAGGATTCTTTACCTTCTTCTATTTTTTTTTCTGAGATAGGGTCTCGGTATGCAGTTCAGGCTGATGTTGAACTCACTTTACAACCCAGCCTGGCCTTGAACTCACAATGATCCTCCTGCCTCAGCCTCCCGAGCACTGGGATTACAGGCATGCACCACCATGCCCGGCATCCTCAGGGACTGACCAAGAGAGAACATCGGGAACTTGGAATCAAACTTCATTCTATTTTTATAAGGAAAAGAGATGAGGAGATTACAAAGATCCTATGAAAGTGGGAGGTAACACCAAGGAGAAGGGGATCCTCAGATGAAATTGTTCTTAAGAAATATATTGTTCAACCAGATGTAGTGGCACACATCTGTAATCCCAGCACTCGGGAGGCTGAGACAGGAGGCTTGTTGCAAGTTTGAGATCAGCCTGGGGTACAAAGTGAGCTCAAGGCCAGCCTGAATTCCATAGCAAGACCCTGTCTCAAAAAGACAAAAAA